TTCCGTCTTAATTAAATACTCCGCAACAAAAATAGCTTTTTGGGCGTGTTTCAAGCCACTGTTCTAGAAGTGGGATAAAAGGCACATTTTAGGATTCTTTTGTTGGGACAGAAATTTGGAAAGATGAGTATTCCTATTAATAAAGTGCTCTATTTTCATTGGTAATAAATAATAAAATGAGTGAAGAAGAAGCTCGAATAGAAGGTTTCTCCGAGGAAGGGGGATAAAAAGGCTCTGGAAGTCTAATTGGGAAGGTCATTCAGTGAATAACAATATTACGTTTTTTCGATCACTATAATCACCGTATTTGTAGACCTTGAAACAAAATAAATAATCTTGATTTATTAGTAATATATGACCAGAAATTCAATCATGTGTTGTTTGAGAGAACTATATGCCAAATAGTCGTACTTGGCTATGGGAAAAGATGAAAGTGTCAAAATTTCATGACCCATTACTCAAACTAATCAACAAGCATAGAAACCGCGATCGTGAACTCACTTGTGGAGCCTTGAATCAAGTCTTACAGCTGAGTTTTAACATTTTTCATTCCTGTTCAAACCGAATTTAACCTCTTTTGACAAACAGCTATTATTTCGCGAAACTCAAATACCCCAGCGGCAGTTTCTTTTAAAATGTTAGAATAGATTTATATCAGGTAATTAAGGATAAAATAAGAGAGGGGAATCAGCTAGTCATGATTTTAATCGAAAAATCGCATTCGACATGAAAATTATTTTTATTTCTAAATGAAATGAGTCTGGGAGGAGATCACAATGAGTTTAACAATTATATTAGAGTGAATGGCATAGATGGAATCTGCTAGGAAGATTTAACTGAACCAGAAAGGATCTCTAACTCACTGGGCAGATAAAAATCAAAGCTTGCGTGATTGGTATCAAGTACATTTCTATCTACCCTATGGTATGAACTAGGGGCGTACGATAGACTTATCTCTATGTGGGCATCCTGGACAACGTATACCCATTCTGGCAGTTGACTCCTCATTTCAAATTACTAGGACTCCAGTGTATGTCATATCCGACCACCTCCATAGTACTCATCTCACCTTTTTTCTGCATTTGTGTCTGTCTGTCTCTTTAACATCTGCGAATCATTATTCGCCCAACCCCTCGACTTTTTGTGACTTTGGTGTTCCTCCTCCCCTCTGTGAAGCCCGAAGTCAGCTAAAAGGCTAATGATAACTATCAAAACGCCTGTCAGTTGAGATAAATAAATGGTAGGAACTATTAAACACATTGTCCCTTTAGCCACAGTCACTTGTCTAAGTGAGATCTACGCTCTTAACCACCCTTAAGGCAATTCAGAATTTAACAGCCTCCTGTTGTACGCTTTTAATGCTTATTTAAACACTTGTTTAAATACACCGATTTTGAATGAGGGAGTGTAAAAAAGCAAACGAAAGTAAAGTCATATCAAGGTAATTGCATCCGGTAATTATATGGTAAGTAACTAATAATCCATTTGAATAAGCGTTGCCTATTTATTGCTTAAAAATATTCATGAAACCGATTTGTACATTTTTTAAGTAAATATATACATAAATATAGTTGACTTAGGAGAAAGCCTCTCAATATAATATTTATTAATCACTTTAGTGAATAAAATCTTATTTTAGTAAACAAAATCAAATACCAATATTTGTGCTTTATTAAAACGCCTACTAAATTTAAAATAATTCATATAATATATACATATATATTTCTGAAATTAATATTATGGGAAAACATATATAGTTGCTTAAATGCAAACACTGATGTTTTATATCTAATCATTCAAGAAGAGGAGTAACCATCTCAATTAAATCGAAGACGTCTAGATAAATGCATTCGGCTTGAAGAAAATCAGTAAATTTCGATCAAAGTAAATAAGACTTAATTTTTTCCCAATAATTGCAAATCTGATATGGGCTTGATTTATATTTGCATCCTAAGGTAGCAAAAGCGAATTTCTTAGATCTTCAAAGTTTAGCCGACATGTGAACCTTTATCTTGATTGCTGTAGATGAGGCAACAGAAACGGAATTAGGTTTATTTAAACCCAACGTAAAAGAAGCCAGTTAACATTTTTCAAGAATGCTTTCCTTAACAAAAATGGTATTTTCTCAAAATATACCCTGTGACATCTCTATTCACTCCATCGGATTATCTTTTCCAACGGGATAACATTTTTTTGCCAAGACTAAAATCCGATTAATTTCATTCAAAATTGAACATTTCCATCTAACTCAGACACCAGTACAAACGCAATATTTGATCGAAATATTTACATGACTTAATTCCAATTTCTCAATAAACCTTTAAAAAGTGTATAAAGTGATGAAAATAAAAAAATGTAACATTTGTCTTATGGAAACGCTAAAAAAGGGCTGAAAATGCCAACCCATTCTAAATTTTTTTAAAGTATTCTTTATAATTTTTAATGAGGCAAGGAAATATATATGACAATATATACCGATACTCTTCACTTAAGATATGTGATAAAATTATTACATGTAAAATGTATAAACAGATAAAACATATACCTGTCAAGAAGAATAGCATATTTACTCTTCGAGTCGGGATCACTTGTGACACAAAAGAGATCATAACCGTCAACCATAAAGGTCTGTTTGGAATTCCTGGTAACGTTGACGATTTGAGAGATGTTTTTAAGTAAAATCGACATGACTAAAATATAAACAGTCCAAATAATTATTGAAACAGTAAAATAAATATTTTTTAAAATAACTAAAATAAAATCATAATAAGTCGTTAACTTGAAGTGTAAATCATTATTGAACAAAGGATGTATAAAAGCCATTTGAGAAAAGGTTAAATATATCACGTTTCACAACTTTTCATTTAAAACTAATTTTATTCCAAAGCAATTAAAATTTTTAAGGATTGGGTTATAAAACTTGACAAATTTACTCTTCACGAAGAGCAGTTTGTGCAATTTTGATAATATGCCGTTCTGAGGTCATAACCTAACCATTTATTTGACTGGTTAAACAAAATTAGATATTTTAAATTAAAATATTTTTACAGAAATGTAAGTTATGCGCTTTAATTTTTAATTTTTACTGTTATATTTTGTTAAATTGATGATCATTTTAATAAGGTATATTTTTCAAATAAAACCTTTCCTTTCACATTGTTGAATATTTTCTGCAATTATTTAATAATTTGTTAATAATTAAATTTTTTTCCATTTTAGTCACTGATTGCCAGAATAATTCGTAAACATTGATATTATCATGTTAATCGATTATTAAGCGATGCTAAAAACATTTTATCTGCAATACAATTTGCCTTAATTGATATATTTACTACTTTTTTATTGAGATTATGCTTTGTTTAGTATTTTTAGAATGATATAGATAAATCAATTTTTTATTATTTCCAAGTACATTGGCACTCTGTGTTGGGTTGTCAAGATCAATAGGGAATGGAAGAAACTGAACTATTGTTTTTAGTAAATTAAAGGCATTGTCTGCAACAGAAATTAATTATCAATTACAAATTGTTTAGTCCTTACTGGCCCTAGTATCACAATTGTATAGAAAAACCGAAATATACATTCGTAGTAAGAAAATGGATACTTTTACATTAGGTTAAAAAATCCTTGTAAATAATTGTCATTTCCCATTGCACGGTCTAAGCAAAATTCTGAGCTGATGAGTTACAAGGCCATATAGTGCAGTGGTCTATTTGCTATTTGCACTCAAAGAATCATTACTATGTGTTCTTATGGTGAATGTGCTCTTGAGCGAACTTGTAATCGTCATTAAAATCTCTCGGGACGTTCTTTGTCGATTTATTGCAAAGTGTGGGGAGCCCAAGAATCCCATTCCCGCTGCATCATTCTGGGAAGAACAGCGCACTACTTATCCCCTAATCATCACATGCGACCATGAAGCCAATCGCATTAAGAAGCAAATGTAGTCGATAGTCCAAAGACCACTTAGCCAATTGGCAATCAATAGTCATTGTATTGTCTTGCTAGCCGAACTTGCATTTATTGGCAAAGCCCTTTTGCCAGTTATGCACATCTGATAAGTCTGAGGATAAGTCTGAGATTATCAGTGCAGCACCCAGCTGCAAAATGTTAAAGTTATTGCAATTGATGTGCTCAGCCTCTGATTTCCATTAGGAATGCACTATCTAACTTTGATAATAACACTTTGAAGAATATACCTGAAACATTCATGCAATACTTTGGCATTAGACCTAATTATTATGCGCGTTTCAAGCTTAAGATTATAGAAAGTTTTGTCGCTAAACGAGATTCCACTCAAGCTATTCTCCCAACTTAATAAATATTAATCTTTGTAGGAAAATGACCATCTTTGGTGTCAGAATGGTATTAATATTTATATATTTCGAATGTTGGGCTTTACGATACTTATCATTAGCCCTTTAGCTGACTTCGGGTTTCAAAGTGTGAAAAAGTGGAGAGGAAACAGAAGAGTGATTCAAAGATTGAAAAGGGGCAGATAGACACCAAGGCAGAGAAAAGGTAAGATGAGTACTGCGGAAGGGGTCGAATATCACATACAGTCGGGTCATGGTAGTTTGAGGTGAGAAGTCAACTGCTGGTTAATAGAATTTTTTGCCGTATGTGAATACGTTGCCCAGGGTGTACCACGTGGAAGTAAGTCTATCGCACACCCCATGGTGTAAATATAAGTACCGCTTTGCACACAAGTGTAAGAGGCTTTCATTCTTGTACACAATCAGCTTTACTTATTTAGCTGTCTTCAAGCCAACAGACATTCAGCTTTAAACAACCATCGTTCTGCTTAGCCAATAAAATCATTGAAATGGACAAGCCAATCATCATCTTCACATTTTGCTGCCGTTTAGTCAACTGAACCAATTAACGGAAAGGCACTAACCCTGCTACATAAAGGCTCTACGCTAGTCAGCAGGGCCAGGTACGTGCGCACACGCGTTACTAAGCCGTGGTTTTACCTTGGAGTCAGAATTAACTCATCGATGCCAGAGAAATCAAACCTCAAATCAGAGGATCGTGAACGTATTTCCAAACTTTTCAAAGAGTTAGATGTCGACAAAGATGGTCGAGTTAGTGTCGCTGAGCTAGCCTCCAGAATCAATAATGCTGAAAAGGATTCAACTGCAGCGGAAATCATTGGTCGTAGTGAAAGTCGAACTACTATGACCTTTCAGGAATTTGTGGACTATATTACAGATACAGAAACTCAACTTAAACTGGCATTTCGTCAAATGGATAAAAATCAGGACAATGTAGTTGACGCCTCAGAAATTCAAGCTCAAATGCGGGAACTCGGTGTAGAAATTTCTCTCAAAGAAGCAGAAAGACTGTTGAAAAGGGTTGATCAAGATGCATCTTCTAGTATTGATTTCAATGAATGGAGAGATTTCCTTATACTCTCTGGTAAGACCCGACTTGAGGATATATTTCACTACTGGAGGCGGGCGTCGGCTGTGGATATTGGCGAATTGGTGCAAGTTCCTGATGATTATACAGAGGAAGAAAAGAAATCTGGAGAAGCGTGGCGAACTCTTGTGGCTGGTGGTAAGTAAATTGAGCTTAACTATGCTTTGATTAATAGAAAATAGATATGAATTGCAAATAAAATTTGCTTTTGTATTTCACTTTTTTTCGTTATTAAGTTTGTAAGTGCACTTATTTCGACACTTATTGTATCGAATTCCAATATTTGCACATAATTTGCGCTGCTTATACAATTTCCGCGAAAAAGCATCTAGCTATGTAAGATTAGCTGTTTTCTTCCATACTTCTTTTCTTATAAATATGCCACATTTTTTCTCGAAATTAGCTTCAAATTTTAGCCTCTGAAAAGAGGCTCACAATATCAACTAGAATTTGAATTTCCCATGAAATCATCTGTTCCCTTATTATTTCGTTGAAAAAACATGAAATATTAATTTATGCCTTATCGTTTTTCGTTAAATACCCTAATTTAATGAGAAGAGCACCGTACTGGCTTATTTTGTTACGTAATTGGTTAAAATTGGCCAATCAGATTGCCAGACTACCTTAATCATGGAAAGGATGGTTTTTACAGGTCAAGATGCTTATTTTGCAACCAAGCATTGTAACAAATGTAAAATGATCAAATTAGTGCATATAAGGTTCAATCACAACTGTACTTTATTTTAGCAATGTATGTTGGTTGAAATGCAACAACATTTTACTTACTATCCCTTGTTGAAGGCCAATATTCCAAATTTTTCTAAGCTCTGTTATTCTTTTGAAGGTAAATCGAATGGGTCCTGGAGTTTTCTCTACTTAAACATGCCATTTACGCGGAAAGTAATTGATTCTAAGTTCAACGTTCCATGAAAGCGCATATACCTATGTTAAAATATGATTGGTTTGCTTCAAAAAATCAAGTTTTAGTAAACACTGGCCTTGACAGTTCAATTGAATATAATTCCTCTGACAAATTCTCTTATAGTCAAGCTTTAGAGAGGCGAAAAGGCGCGAAAGTATGACTTTGTTAGTTTATGCGTAGTTACGTTTGAGTGCCGATCTTAAATTGTTAGGATAGTTGATTTCACTAGATAAATCATAAAGGCGATTCTTACGCTCTCCTTAATTAGCATATCTTAGTACAGAGAAGATAGTCGTGATCAATGATTAATCTAATTCTAAAGTATTTTCCATTCAATGCACTCACGGGGTTGGGTTCTTTGTTTTTACATGGTGGGACGTCACCACACATATATGAGTGATTCTCCACTATGTCTTCCAGGGCAGATTTAAATTCGCTCATCGCTATGAGATTTTCTGTGAAATTGTCTACTAATTAACCACTTCTGTGGCGAAAATGCTTGGTTTTGGTTTTATAAGCGTATTATGCACGATTATTTCGGAAACGGAATACACCTATTTTAGGTTAAATAAATTTTTTTTGGCATATATTGTTCCCATTTTCTAAAACACTTTAAGCATCATGATCTATGTGACTTTAAACTTTGCTGGAATCACGTTAGGCCTTTCCACAAAAATTTATGAGTCTCCATTACATGAATGCACTATATCTCCACCCAATCCGATGTGTTGGCTTCCATCTCCCCCGTCCTCTATTCACGTGACATTTTTATGGGTTGCTATTTATCTCGTGAAACATTAGACTGTATTTGGTCTTTGGGGGCTATCCGTTCAATAATCGTTACCACACAAGATTTTGATCGAATTGTTTTACTGTTTTCAGTACTAGCACTAATAGAATCTATCTAAACAAAATGCGCGATTTGTAATTTTTCGCATCTCATTTCTATTTTACGAAAATTAAGTTTTAATTTTATTCTTAAATGCAATAATTATTAGCCCAAAGGAATGAAGCTCTATTTGGTATTACTATTTCTGAGTTGAAACTGATTCTAGTAAAATAGAAAAATTCGACGAATGTACAAGTCAATGGCTTAGCCTTGATCACATTGGGGTGTTTATAGCTTTCTACGAACAAATAATAACTTATTGTTTATGTCTTCATAAAAATCAAATATTCTCTAGGTTAATAGTTTCGTTTAAAAGACTTTTTTGTTTACGATTAGCTTTCATCCAGGTAGAATTGACAGGGCTTTGAGAATAATTTTGCAATTATACGAAAGAGTTGAACTAACGCTTTTATCCGAGATTAAATATTTTTACGGAATATTTGATACTTTCCTTTTAAGGTATTGTTGCAAAGTATCAAGAACGAACATTTCGTTGCGTTTTGCTTGGACAGGCCATAATAATCTTAGAAAATTAAGTTATTTTAGGCACTACGGCGGTATAGAGGTTCATAACAATCAAGGAGATTGAACATCTTTCCAATCTGTGTTGAAGATCATTAATTTAGGTTTGTTGATTATATCAGAGTTGTGTTTTCATGACCTACATTGTACTTACAAAAGTACATTTTGTCAAGGTTTTCCTTCCCACTACCTCTTTTAACCAGATATATATAGAATTTTTTGCGAGTGTCGGCTGGTTTTTTTGCAGTAAATTCAATGATATTTATCGTAAGATTACAAATTACCGTAAAAAGTGGGCAAACTTCTGTGAAGAATAATTTTAAAACTCTGGGATGTGCAATAGGCTTACCTCTACTTGGTGTATCCTGGGTAAAGTACACTCATACGGCAAAAAAGTCCATTCACCGGCGGTTGACTTCTGACATCAATCTACCATGACCCACTGTATGTCATATTCCACCACTTCCACAGCGCTCACCTTGCCTTTTTTCTCTGCCTTTGTGTCTGTCTGTCTCTTTTACATCTGTGAATCACACTTCTGTTCCTCTCCTCGACTTATTGTCACTTTGATGTTCCTCCCTTCCATGAAGTCTGAAGTCAGCTAAAGGGCTAATGATGACTATCAAAACGCCTGAGACCTGAAATAAATAAATAAATTTTACAATTCTGATAGTCAGCAAAGTAATCCTTATGGATGCTTGCTCAAAATACAGTCGTCCCCGATCGATTTTTTTAAATTAAGGCTTCTAATTGAACTAATAATGAGTTTCAACATTAACTTCAACGATTACCAAAAGCTCNGGGGGTTGGAAGTAAACTAATCTAGCAATCTCGTCAGTTAGTAGACAACCACTTGCTGTGTCATAATAACAGCATGGAAGAACTGTGGCGAACGCGAGCCTATATCTTGAGGTATACTCAACTCATAACCCTGTACTGGGGAGGTGATCGGTTGTTATTATGAGAAGATGATTGCTACCTCTTCTCTCATTGTTTCGTTTTCCATCTTTGCACTTTGTGCTCTTATCCAATCTTTCATTCCTTAAATCCCGACATACTTATTCATGGCTTTACTCTGACTTGCTACTCTTCTTTTTTATCCTACGCTATCAGGATGCTTATCTCTAATTTCACGTTTTATGCAAAGTACATAGATGATAAACCCCCGCATATGTCACCCCTCCCTCCCCCCCCCCAAATATAATCTTAAGTGTGGGATATTTCACTCAAATCCACTAAATCACAATGTAGTTCTCGTGGAATTTAACAACTTAAGCATTGTATCCGTTTTATTGTTGCGGAGCGCTAGTTTTTATAATTTGTAGGTTGTCAATAGAGATCATATTCATTCATTTTTCACCTATATTTCTGGCCTGTTAAAAATGCAGTCGCACAAGACTTCTGAAGTCCATTTTGGGAAAAAGTTGCCAATAGCTGATTGGAGTAGAGCATAGGTATCAAAAGCAGAGCTTTCGAGAAGCTCACATTCTATCACACGACTCTTATTGATCAGAAGTAATCAGTACACTTTCATCATGTGTGCACCCATGGTCATCGGTCTCGTGGCCTCTGACATTTTAGACGTCCAGGTTGTCCACTACGCCACCGGTAGCTCAAAACGTATCCTTATTTTGAGGATCTCCTTTTCCATAATCATGCAATTAACCAGAATAGCGCGAGTCATTCTTTTATCGCCCCATAGGACTGTACGGTTCTCTTTCCAAATATGCTGCATCAGTACTAGACTCGTAGCAGAAGGCACTATTGCCGTTCGAAACATGTTACTACCGAAACTTATCACAATCGCATCAGCCTGCTGTCAGACGCACGTGTGAGCGTGGTTGATTGCATTTCTCGATGGAAAATCATTTGGGCGTTAAAGTGTTAAATATCTTATTATTATCGGATTTCCTCATTGGTGTCTAAAACTACAAATCGACTACCGCTGAAATTATTGTTAAACCAAGCCACCAATCATTTTCTTCCCTTTAAAATCCATACTAATAATATTATCCACAGTAATACATTGAGTTCCAATTATTGTTGCTGTAAGCCAATGACACCAATTCTGATAGAGAAGCTAACAAATGGTAAAGGAGAGGGGATCAAAAAAGCCGTTGAGATCCTCGTCAATTTATCAAGAATTTTTACCTCTGTAGCTGTGGCTTTAACTTTGGTGGATAGCTAGCAGGAGAGAGAGAGAGAAGTAACTTTGGAAAAAATGGCAACACTTTTACGTGTATTAGCTTTACAATAAATTAATATTGTCTGATTTCTCCTTCTAGGTGTATTGTCTATGGCAAATTCTGGACCAAACACGAATGGTTCTCAATTTTTCATTTGTACAGAACCCTGCGATTGGTAAGCATTCCTCCACCAATCAAATTCTTGCACTAACTCACTATCATTGGCATTTACCTTTGTCTTTTCCGCTTTCTATTCAGGTTGGATGGCAAACATGTCGTCTTTGGCCGTGTCATTGAGGGTATGGATGTGGTCAGAAAAATTGAAGTAAGTTGTTGATGATGCTTCTGAAAATGCTGTATATTTCAAAAAAAAGAATCTTATTGGGTAAATAAGCCAATACTGTCGGTTTTCAACATTGAGTCATTTATTTAATTTTGCAATAGAATACCACTCATAACATTGATTTTGTTAGGAGTTTTAATTGTTGTTAAGCACTTGACAGCAATTTCTTCAGCCATCTTGGACTTCGTGATAGAGCCTGTGGCATGAATTTTTCTTGGCCATTTTTGCCCTTCGATAGCTGGTTTGTGAACTTCATACTTTTCTTACGAGTTGGCACTTTGCTG